TATCCATTTCACTTTTGATGGTTATGTAGGCTGTTTCCTGTGTGTTACTTTTACAATGTCAATATGGATATCCTTGTGTATATCTCCTGGTACATGGGACTAGAATCACTGGTGTAGCGTGTACACATATTCAACTGTATTAGGTAGCATTAAACTGCTTTCCAAACAAGTTGTGCAAGCAAAAATTTGCATGCTTGACATTAACTGACATGAATTTATAGGCATATTTTATTTTCTTGATTGTGATTTCATCTATTTTAAAAAATTTCCAATTTGTAAATAGAAGAAAGTTATTAAAATAGACATAAATGAATGTGTGTTCATCTATCACAAAGCAAAAGTGATAGGAGAACAAGTTAATAGCCACATCTACCATATCCTTAATCACAGACAACTAAAGGCAAAATTAGCCACAGCTATTACTCTATCTAAATTAAAACCTAATGTCATATGTTATACCAGTTTACATTCCTACCACCAGTGTACCACAATCATTTTCATGCAATGCAATCATAGGCACTATTAACAAGAATGTGGTAAATCTGTAAGTATGAAAAGAAAATATGTGCACATTGAAAGGAAAATATGTCACGAAAATATGTCGAGATAAATTAAGTAATAAAAATCTAATTATAAAACTATACATAGTCCAGTGGTATGGCTCGGTGGTTAAGCATAGACCCATGCAACAAGAAGTGTTGATTCCCACATGACTGGGTTTATGGCTTGATCCCTGGTAGGGCAGCCAATCAATAATCTCTCTCGTTAATATTTATATATCTCTCTCCCTTCCCTTCCTTTCTCTCTAAAAAAATCAATAAAATATGTTTTTAAAAACAAACAAGAAACTATACACACACACACACACACACACACACACATATCTATGCATAATAACTTTTTAAAAGAAAACCTCTGTGTTTTTATTAGCGAAAACTATACAGACATAAATAAAGATAATGTTGTTTAGGCATAGGAAGAAAACTGTACTGTACCATACAAACTATTCATAATAGAAGTATAAATGCTAAGCAATGGAGTCAGTTTTTTTTAATAGGGTCTGTTTTACTTTTTACACTTATGGTTTGATTCTGTTATAATGAACTTACTATTTTGTAATTTAAAACCCAATAAAGATAAAAATGGTGTGTGAAGTTCACGTATCATTTTAGCTTAAAAGAACACTTCCTTGTTTTTCTTTAATTTTACCTCCTATGTATATGTTCCTAAACAATGTTTTGTTAGTTTTTCTTGTTCTTAAACTTTATATAAAAAGAAAATTCAAAACCAACAAAAAGAAAATTAAAAAACAACAACAAAGTCAAAGCCCTGGTGGAGTGGCTCAGTTGGTTGGAGCATCGTCTGGTACACCAAAAGGTTGCAGGTTCCATTCCCAGTCAGGACACATATCTAGGTTGCAGGTTCAATCCCTGGTGGGCAGTACCAGACACACTGATTGATGTTTCTTTCCTCTCTCTTTCTCTCTCTCTCTCCCCCTTCCTCTCTCTCTAAAATCAATGAAAACATATTCTGTGGTAAAGATTTTTTAAATGAAGTCAAACATTCAACTTTTCAAGTGCATCTCTGACTATGGAAGAGTAACTTCTATAAAGACTATTTAAAATCTAGTTCTAGAAACCAAACAGAATGTGTAAAAAATAGAGAACAGATGTAATTTCATGTCTGAAAATTTTTAATATAATAAAAATCAGTAAAAATACTACTATAAAGTATATGGTTAATTTTTAAAATCTCTGTTAATAGAATATAAATGACCAACTTACATCTATTGGCAGTGATTCATCTTCCTTTTCCGTTAATCGCATATAAGAACGATCTATAAAACCAGAAGCACACCATTAAGAAAATTTTAGCTAATATTTCTTCCTTAAAATGCAAGCAAATCAATATACCAAAGAAGCACCTTACTTATATGCTACATAAAGTAATGCTAATCCTGGATTCCTCAAAAACTTCTATCTTAATCAGCCTGATCTTGAGCTATTTAATTCTTATCATAACCTGCTTTGTACCCTTATAAAATGAGGTAAGAGTGAAAGGAGTAGAACTTGTATGCATATATGCATAACCCATAGACACAAACAATAGGGTGGTGAAGGCCTGCGGTGGGGGTGGGCTAGAAGAGGTCAAGGGGGGGAGAGACATATGTAATACTTTCAACAATAAATATTTAAGAGTTTTATAGTTTTTAAAAGAGTGAAAAGTAAGCAAGTATGAGGAAGAAACACTTATACATAATTTTTCTTTCATTACCACAGGACAACTAGAATTCTCTGAAACTAATCATTTCTTTTAGTAACTGGTCAAAGAAATCACAATTATTTTTTTATTTTTTTAAAATATATTTTATTGATTTTTTACAGAGAGGAAGGGAGAGAAATAGAGAGTAACATCGATCAGCTGCCTCCTGCACACTCCCTACCGGGTACGTGCCCGCAACAAAGGTACATGCTCTTGACCAGAATCGAACCTGGGACCCTTGAGTCCGCAGGCCGACGCTCTATCCACTAAGCCAAACCGGTTAGGGCAATCACAATTATTTTAAAATTAATAAGCTTACAGAAATCTCCACTCTGATATAACATCACCATCACATTGAATTGGTAGGGAAATGTTTTTCCTGAGAGAATATGCTGAGGCAGTGAGTGGTGGGATAGGAAAAAAATCCAGGACATAAATTTCTGCCTCTGTTATCTATATATATAAAAGCCTAAGTGACCAAACGACTGGTCAACCGGTTGCTATGATGCACACTGATCACCAGGGAGCAGACGCTCAATGCAGGAACTGCCCCCTGGTGGTCCGTGTACTCCCACAGCAGGAGCGCCACTCAGCTGATCAACGGGCACCAGACGCAGGGCTCATGGCTGGCGGTGCGAGCCTCTCGTGATCAGGACTGACTGGGCACAAGCCTGCAGCAGGCACAGCAGGGCTGGGATGAGCGGGAGCGGCGCGGCACCCAGTCTGGGCTCGGGCTCCTCCCCGGCTGCCTGCCACTTCCTGCACTACTTCATGCTGTGCGGGATCAACACAGACAGTGGGCTGGAGCCCAATGAGCTGGCAGTTAAGGCTGGGCTGCAGTGGCATGGAGGTCCACTGATCCCCGCAGGCCAGGGCGAAGGACCCCACCAGTGCACAAATCTGCGCACTGGGCCTCTAATAAAAATATAAAATCCTGATTCTATATGAACCTTGCACAATCCCTATTTAATAATCTACACTAATAAAAGGGAAATATGCTAATTAGACCAGGAGACCTTCCAGACGTCCTTCTGGACAAAGCCATGGTGGCGGGGCCGAGGCAGAGGCAGTTAGGGGTGATCAGGCCAAGAGGGGAGGGCAGTTGGGGGTGATCAGGCCAGCGGAGGGGGCAGATGGGGGCGAGCA